AATTGCAATTCAAATTTGACACATTTTTTACTTTGGCAGTTTTTCAGAAACATCATATACTGCGAGTTTTTGGGAAAATTAGAGGTGGCTGTATAATTTTGTACGCACTGTATATGCAAGAAAGCGCGGAGTATGTCACCAGACAAGATTGCAACGTCTCATTGACAAAGCGGGATATTATTACTGCCAAGAAGGCGCAAACCTAGTCGCGTCTTGCACAACAGCAACACACACATGGAATATCATCCAATGCGAAACCCATGTTTTTCAATCGAATGCGATCCTTCTGGGAAGCCAAACACACTCGTTCTGGACTTTCAGCAAGCGATAATAAGACAAGGTTGCTTCGTAGAATGCAATAATCGCACAATCCACATGCTCCTAGAAGGTTCTCTTGTTTACTTGCCACACATGAGTGATGAAAAATTTTTCGTTTCTTTCTCTGTGACGACATGGGATTCAACAAAATGGTTCCGGGAATGGCAAATGTTAGATCTCGGTCCCCCACTGAAGGTAACAAGAAAACACTGGAAAGCATCTCTCGTCACCATTGGAGCAGTAGCTACGTTATGTGCCGTAACCTACCTCTTTGGCCCCACGGCTTTACTACTCCTTCTCCAAGCAATAGCAAAAGGTCTGAAGAGCTTTCTAAGGCTTTGTTTCAAAATTTCCTTACTTATTCTCAAAACTGTAAAACAATTATCGTCAATTTGCATACGCCACTGATAGCTCATGACGCGTTCTCGGAAAACTCTCCTATTTGTAGTTCCAGATAATACAGTATGCGTATTTCTTGAAAGCTCGCTAACATTACAACACAATACGACAACATATCCCTCAACTATTCTTAAGCATGAAAAACTCGCCAGTTTACCCTCCCCGCTACTGATGCAGCAAACAAGGACGAAGTCGATGTCGCCATACACATCGAGCCGGGGTGAGTCAATTTGTGTCCAACTGTAATTACTTCACACCTTCCTCGCCCATCCACTCACTCGCCTGACCTCCCTTAATTGGTTGGCCGGTGACCTCTCTATCAGACAACTACCCTCACGTCTAACGATATCGATTGTGAGTGAGGAACTTCGTTACATTTAAAGCATTAGAAATAAAATAAAGCAAAACAAAAAATATGGAATGCATAAATAATAAAACAAAAGGTGTGGAGGCTAAAATAACCATTGGAAATATCATAAGAAAGGGGAAAAAATTATTGCATTCTGTAAGCATTCAGCATTCATTCTCACAAGGCGCCTGCAGGCAAACTATAATAGATGACAGAGTGACTTTTCTCACCTTTTTCAACACAGTCTTCTCCAGCTTCAGCTCATGATTAGCTGCTCCTGTTGCTCCTTCTTATTTCTACGAAACCCTATATTTAGCTAGTCCACCATAATACATTGTACCACCTCTATTTCATGTATCTGACCCCTTCCACCCCTTGCACCTCCCCTTTCCTTCCCCTCGAGTGCTGTAGCTCCGAATTCCTTTTATTTACATTCAGCACCCGCAAGCACTGTGAGCTCTGTGAACCAAGACCTTACGTTTTACGAGACCCTAGGGCCAGCTACGGCTACTATAAATCCGGGGCACACCAAGTGCCAACATGTTGGCGAAAGGCAGGTAAGCAAAAGTGGGAAGCATGACGTAATAATGTGCCGGATTCCAGGTACGACACGTTTTCTAACGTTCTACCGAAAGTACATAGGCAGAAACTATTTTAAAATGTGTAATAATAATAATAATAACAATAAATACTATACCATTATTAACAATAACACAATAATAAAGACTTCAATCCATAAAACCAATATCAGTACACTGAGACTAACAGAAAGGTCACCAGCCAAGCAATTAACGGAGGTCACCCCACAGACGAGTGGTGGATGGGCGAGGAAGGTGCGAAGTAATTACAATTGGACACAAATACCGACTCCCCATCGAGCCGCTATCTGATGCTATCAAAGAACTAAAGGAACAACTCACTATGTTCGTGATGTCATTCGATGCTAAGATGGAAGCTCTGGTGGACCTTGTCAGCCGTCAGAATAATATCATCGACAAAAAATTGGATCTGATCATGGAAAGAACAAAGCCGCATTCAAGTTGCGTTTTCTGTTCCGTCGACGAACACCGCGACAATCACCCAACTGGACGCTGTTGCCGTTTCCCAGACGCAGTTTCTTGTGCAGGTCAAGTCACCAACTTACAGCTGTGTAATCGCTGCTTACAGCCAAAACACAGTGAAGATTGCGGCATCCTTTGTACTTTTTGCGGAAAAGAGCACAATGTGCTCATTTGCCCACGTGAAGCTTCCCTTGGAACGTCTTCGTTCAAGCGAAGAAAGTTTTGAACGTTTGTTGCGGCGGGGAGCGTGCGCTGATTACGTCAGCAATCAGCGCACATCTCCATGGTCTCATCTTCTGCAGTAACCCCCCCCCCTTTCGCTTCACCGTATTGTCTGTCTGCTCGTCGCGCCGTCACCTTCCTACTTCTCATCCTGCCGATTAGTCTCCAGCCTGGCTTCGTCCCATATTCTAGAGAAGATTCGGCGCTATTCGCCAGCAATCTCCGTCTACATATTCGATTCATCAGGACTGTCTCCCCATTCTAACTCGCATTCTCTGCCATGTCTCGGTCAACTACATTTCAACTACATCACCTCTGTGCGGACGGAAGGGGCAATCGACAGGGAGCCAATGCACTACCGACAATATCGAAATCGCCGCCCGTTCAACAGCTTCGACGTATGGTAGACTCATTTCAATTGTTGGTACTTGTAGTTCGCTTTTGTTTATTGAACATCGTATTTAAAGTGACATATCGGTAGATTGAATGATTATTGACTACTAGTGTAGAAGTTATATGTTGATGAGATAATTTGACGTTATCTTTGGCTGCCGCCTTTTCGGGCGCAGTGTCGCGATCAATCGCGACCAATCGCGACTATGTATGCATTGTTGTCATGTCAAGATGGAGATTCCTTTTGCTGTAATGTTTTCGGTGTATTCAAACGCTCTGAGACCATCTCAGGGCGCCTTTGTGCTCTGCGGTTAGGATAAAGTGGTGAGTTAAGAAAGGTGTTGCTGAACCACCGAGAAGACACCGACAATTCACAACTTTACTTCCTTCAGACCTGGGGGATTCAAGTGTGCTAGTATTCACGCTATGGGGATGTTGGCCGATACACCGATTTGCTATGCCTATCTGTTGTGAAAATGACCGATCACTGACCACTTTGCTACCTTGAGCGGTGCCGAAGAAGTTGAATAGAGTCGATGGAATATATATAGCTGTCTTCGCATCATTCGATAATTGCAACCGATTTTGACCACTTTCGATTTGTAATACTCGATATGGGACTGCTCCTTAGTACTAATTTTTTTCGAGAAGAAGTGGGAACGAGTGATGGTAGGCCTGTGTATCTATGTATGTGTGTGTGTTTGGCCGGAAACTTATAAATTCTGTTTTCCTGCACCGGAGCGTCCACATTTGCGATTTTATCGGCTCGTCAACTTTATGCGAGGAGGAGAGGCTGGCGTTATCTGGGCGATCCGATTGGTTTGATTGAATTTCCATCACATGGAATTCAAACTTTCACGTCATGCCTGTGAGTCTAACGTCCTGCCAAGTGTGCCATCGTTGCAAGACTAAAATATCGCGAACGCGAATTCTAGATCAGCGCTCGGAAAACCCTACATTAGCGCTCAAAATTCCAGTGAAATGCTTTGACGCTTTTTCGTCCATAACTTTTTTCTTAGCAGACTAAACCGTGCAAAATTTGTATATTTTTAACTAGAGCATATTCCACCCTACCCAACACTACTTGACTGCAAAGCTACAATATCCACAGATAGAGCAAGGTGTTTGTTGCGGTAGCAGATTTTGCTAAAACCAAAGTTGTTGACGTCTGCATTTATTCGCACCTTAAGTGCGTTTTTCTCATCTATGTGTTCGGCATTACCGCTCGTACACTTTAGACATGACAAAAAGGAAAGAGATTCTAGAAGGACCATCATCTGTGTTTTTGAATTCATGCTCTTTGGAATATCTGGAACATGATCAGATTGCAGGTTAATAGTGGTGAATATTCACAATACACCCACGCTCCAAATAGAAACTTCGCATGACTAGATCCAGTAGAAATGAAGTTACGACTGAATAGTACGGCTGAAGAACCATTTCGCCGAAGACTTTTGAGCGCTACTGCACATCGGTACGCATCTCATCTTGGATGACAACGGCGACCAATTATACCTCCCATGTCAGGTGTTGGAGAAAGGTCTGCCCCTTCGAATGCTGTGTCCAGATTAATCAGTTTCTACAGCCTGCCGTAAGTGAGCCGGACTCTTTCTGCCGCCTAACCTTTTTTCAAATTTTCATACGGTCTAGGTCCAAAAGAACAGGGTTTTGATTTTTGGTCAAATACATATGCACGGTTCATGCACCCATGCCCGCCATGAGCAAAGTCCAGCCTGAGTCGTGTGTATTCAAGCGACTTACTTGATTCCCTACCTATTTGAAATTGACTGCGCATTTTAACTCGGGTAACGGATTTACCGCACGCTTTGCCCAGGTGGACGGCGGAGATCATTCCTGCCCCCAGTGTTCCCTTCCTGCCGTCCTCGGTCAGATTTGGGAACAGCAAATATGAATTTTCTGCTGAACACCCATTTCGCGCGCGCTCCGCCCCTGGAAGGAGCGCAGCTCTGCCACCTAGCACCACGGTTCCGATCCTACCACTTTTATCACAAATTTGAACGTATTATGCCAAACGAAAACCGGGACGGCCGTCAGCGAGATGGTCAGAACTAACCATCTTGGCTTGGTGCAATGGCCATTACGATATAACATTAGTTGACCGGCACACCTGATCTCGATTTCCAGGCGTACGCAACGCCATCCCTGATCTTCGTTCGCTGATGGAGCTCGGAACTACGGATTCCCTTCTGCACTTGCTTGTATAGGGGAATTCCAGCATCGTCCCTTTCAAAGCGCGTTGAGTGACGCTGACTAGATGCTTATCCTGCTATTGTAAAGTCCAAATCTCTGAGCGCGTAGCCGAATATTCTTTCCCTTCTCAACTACTCTCTCGATATTCCTAAATGCTCCCCGAGCGGCGCGTTTCCTTCTGCTCAGCGCCGGAGCTAGATCGTACAACATATTGACTTCCCGACTTGGATACATATAACTAGAGCATTGAGATCTTCGTGACGTTCAGCGTGATGGGAGCATTAGGTAGAGATACATATAGCTAGAGCACTGAGATCTTCGTGACGTTCAGCGTGATGGGAGCACAGGTACCAATCCGTTTCTCATAGCGGCACTATGGGCGAAATGATATCAACCTGCCGAGCTCCTCAGATGACGCTGACAATGAAATCTTTCTCATGAAATGTCGTAATCCTGGTCGTGAAGTTGATGTAGAGCCCACGAAGCATACGTACGCAGGGTGACTTAAAATTAAAGTAGGGCACCATATTTGCAAGCTTAACTTCGGAGATAAGGACTAAGGAGACAAATGAACTTTATTGAGGAATACAGTAGAGCTACATGATCATTCAGGCAGGAGGTGTTCGAAGTTCGATCCTTTCGCTCTTATACAGGCATCTAGACGTTCGACTAAACATTCGACAACTCAATCAACATTGCGCCGCAGGTAGTCGACGTCGATATCGTCCCCCATTTTCTGAAGCGCAGACTTCAGAGCATCCAACGAATGGGAGGAGCATCCTGCGGTTTGCTCTCCAAACACCTCAACACCGAGGAGACCATTGGATTGTGATGTGGCGAAGAAGAAGGCCAGGTATCCTTGCCCCTGTACCAAAGGAAGTGCGCGTCCAGTACGGCTTTCGTCGACTCTGAAGCATGCGAAGGGGCTCGCCCAATGTTGCTGAAGGACAAGCGATCGGTTCCCAGAGTGTTCAGTGACCCAGCGTAACAGCGTGTCCATAAATCTACCTTCTATTAGACCTCGGAGTTGATTTTCACATTTCTGTCGATGGCAATCGTTGCTCCTTTGCTTACTGTCTTCCTGGCCCAAACCATCATACTATGGAAAGATCGTCTGCTATGCACAAGACGTTTCAGGAACCTGCTGTCAGCTTTTGACAACAACAGTCTCTGGTTTTGACGGTTTGAACAGTGTTCTACCGTGAAAATTTTCTCATTAGTCCAGATCACTTCAGAAATGCGGCGCCTCCCGAGCTCTCTAAGAAGCTTTTGCATTTTATCAGCCGACTTCGTTTGGACTTTGGACTCGACGAAGAAACCGTCCTCGACAGAGCTCATAAGTGTTCAGCTTGAGATCGTGTTTTCACAATTTTCTGGACGGCTAGACGGCTGATGCTAAGGTCGATTTATGCTGACTCCATCGTTGCGGGTGATCCTCGGCCCAATGATGGCACGAATCCTTAGTGTGTTCACTGCTTTCGGTCGTCCATTTTTGGCATCTTAGAGGCTAATCCTCGAATCCTGAGGGCAGCAGAGGCATTTCGAATGGTAGAAGACCGAATCGCTTCGCGACGTCACAACTCCTGAAACCTTCCTCGAGCAACTTCTCGATGGTGGGTCGATGAGCAGGAACTTTCGTAGCGACTGTTCAGACGGATGGTCAATCAAATAACTTATGATGCTCCTTGCACAGTTCCCACGCTTTCTATCGGCAGATTGGGCGATAGTTGCCAATATCGTCGGGATCTCACTCCTTATACAGCAATACAGTCTCGCTAATTTTCCTCGTCGTGGCACTTTGCATTCCGACAGGTACCGCGTGAAAGGCCTAGCCACAATTCTGGTGACTTCTGACAACTAGTGGGAATGTTGTGGATTCACAACCATTTCTATGTTTATAATAGAACTAGCTTTTACAAGAATGAGTGATAACATGCTAGTTCAACATATTAACTATAGGCATAACTTGACATGAGTATCTCTTGAGTTGAGACCAGAGGCCTGACCTGGCGGTATCATAAGTATGCAATCAAGCAGGTAACTTAAGCTCTGCCGTTGGCGCGGTCCGCTCTTCAACCCCCGAGTTTGAGTATCGCCACGGCCCCTAAGGTACGGTGGCGACACGGTATCTGAGGACCGCCCACATATTGTGTATATAAACCCCGTGAATGTTATATTAGGGTCGATCTTTGTACTACGCGTCGTAATAAACCTTTGTTACACGTCCTAAATACACCTTCCCATTGGTAATCCACCAAAGGGAATATCTAGATGTTCTGATTCGATTCTATCGGGCGTAGAATTCTTCATTGACGTGGAGGCATATCTTGTCGAATTGAGCACATCAAACAGTCAAAGAATAAGAAAGGCGTTAGGATTCAATTGGTGAGTGGATCTTGTTTTCTAGGCCTATGTTCTATCGCCACAGTTGCCATCCTGCTATCAGTTTGTGTACACAAACACCGCATGAACACATGTACACACATACTTATTCACACACACATATTACATACATACATACATACACACGTACACACAAACACAAGCACATGCATACAACGCACATACACACGTGTACACATTCACCACATACACACATGCACACACACACATTCACATTCACATACATCCATGCACATGTACACCATGAACCCATACACACGTACTTACACATACACACAACACATTCACACCTGTACACATACATACATGGACACACATTTACATATTCACGTAGAAATATATACGCACATACACGTGCACACACATATTCGTATACACATACACACTTGCACACGTGCAAACATGTAACACACTACACACGTGCACACATACACACATGTAACCACATTCACATATTCACATACACATACACACACAAACACAAAAATACACACAAACATTAGCGCGTTATATATAGTAGGATGTGAATACATTCAATAGAGCACTTATCCGTCATGCAATTAATTCCCACTCAAGTCACAGGTATCTTCACACCCTTCTGAGCTATTGAAGACGATATCTTGAATGTCTAGAACATTATGCATTCTATGATACAAGTTTGTCATTTTCGTATACTGTGTTTGCCTTAGCAGGCCATAAACGTTAAACATAAATATTGGAAAAAAACAAGAAGAAAAATTGTTGTCTAACCTGAAATCACACGGTACATTGCTTTCTTCCCCTGCACTAATGTCAACATCGGTTCGAGTAAATTTCATCAGATCGCTAGCCATGCTAGTGTGGAACACCAGGCAGAACAAAACTTTCTGGAACCTGAGAGCTACAGTGCGTTTCATAAGTATAAGATCTCCTTCAAATTTGGTGTTTACAGGATAAGCAGCAAAGCAGATAAGTTTTAAGCACTACTGTCAGATTCACCACCCTGAATAACCCCCACGCAAGGACATTTCTTGAATCAACTTCTACCATAACATTTTTATAAATAATTTTTGGTTTCTGCACCGTTTCATAAGTATAAGATCGCATTGAGAATTTTTGAAAACTATCAGTAGTATCGACAAAAAACATTTAGTAGTCGAAGGGTCTTCATTGTTCCAGCCCAATATCGAATAGTCTACATGGCATACTCGAAACAGGGTTTCGAGTAAATACCTCGTCGGAGTGTTCATTCCAACATTCAAGTACTGCCTTCTTAGGCTTTTCAGTCGTTTAGAACTGACGACTGTTCGCATAAATCTTTTCACAATAATGCCCCACAGATCCTCCATCGGGTTCGGATCGGGGCTACAGGCTGGCCATGTCAAAACACCGAAATTTCGGGAAAGAAACCAGTCCCTCGTGGAATGACTAACGTGGATCGCAGCACTGCGGCTGCAAAGCAGCCTGTCCTGTTGAAAAACATAGTTAGGACCACGCTTCAGGTGCCGTTGAAGGCTTTTTGAAAGTACATGGAGTCCATTTTGGAGGTCACGAGAGCAAGCTCCAAGCCGACATCTTTGCAGAAGCCACCTCGTACCACAAACAACACTTGTTCCTCAAAAATTGCAACGATTTGAGTTGACTGGCTCTTTTCTTGTCTTGCCAGTAGTAGTTGTAACCATCGGGACCTTACAAATTACTATCACCAAAAAATACGACCTGAACGATAATATTGGAGAGTATGGCTAACCGGTAATTCAGGCTAACTTTCGTCCAAATTCAACTTCGCAAATTCAAGTCATGCCTTCCTGTGGTGAACGGTAAGCATCGGAGTCCTCTTCATTGCTGCCCTGACAATGCTGCTGCTCTTTTTCACGGCTCTCCATTCACTAGTTCTGGACACCGAAAGACCCAACTCTATCGAACTTTGTTCAACGACAAGGTTTTGTCCGAAATAGTTCTTATCATTCACCTCTCGTCGTTCGCGGACAGCTTGCGCCGGCATCCTGTCCTCGTGGGGGCTCTTTAGTCTTCAAAAAGTGCAAATTATACTGCACTAGATTTCGGAACCTTCGTGCTGTCGAGGGTGATCCTGTACTTATGAAACAGCAAAAAAACCGAAAATATTCTACAGTGCGTTTCAAAAATATGTGCACACCCAACGTTTTGTTTTTTTTTTGGGAATACCATTGCTTTCTGTAACCTGCGACCTACACCATTCAATTCCTTGTGTGCGATAACCTGAGAACACTTTCTCTGAGAAAACATCGCAGCTGCTAACACAATTTTTTATTAAAGAAAAATTTTCCTCTGTTCCAAAAGTATGTACACACTTAGCAAAAAACAAAAATATAATCGAGATCAGAAACCAATAGGGCCTCCTAAATTCCTGCAAAGGTTATCGACTACGAGGAGTCGTTTGACAATGGTTTCGTTACGGTAGGTTCTTTAGTTATCTTTGAAATGAAAAATTTCGAGTGCGCATATACCTTTGAAACTTCAACTGGGCCGCTCTTTTTCATGCATTGCTAGATTCATCCGAGACCCTGGCAGCTATTGCTAGCCATCCACGTTTTTTGAGTGCTCAGGACAACAGGAGAATAGCCCGCCTTGTGACGAATACTTCTTTGTCTGTGAGTCAGATCCGAGCTCAGATGGGTTTATCAGTCTCG